CCCCCTCTCTCTCTTTCTCTCTCTCTCGTTCTCTCTGTCTCGGTCTCGCTTCCGCTCGTACTCCCTACGTCGTACCAGTGCGAGCGCGTTCCTCTACGTGCCGCGTCTACGTACACACGTAGATTATACGATAACGGGTGCGCAAGCCGAGTCCCCGTGTTTTCACTGCGACCACCACCGCCCCGTCACCCATTTTTCCACCCTCGCACTGTAATCCTCCCGCGCCACGCTCCGTGCGTGCGTGCGTGTGTATATGTGTGTGTGTATTTGTGTGTGTGCAAATAGTACCTATAAAACACGCACGGTAAATTTGCCAGCGACGATTCGCGCTGTTTTTGCAGCCGGCGCTCACTCGATGGTTCTCTCTCGCTCAGCGACGAAGAGCCGCGGCACGCTGGTGAATCGTCCGAGCGTATACGAGTTTTGCAGACCCAGGGACAGGCATGTAGGCGTGGCACGGGGGTTGTAGAAGCAGCGGGTCGAGAGGGGGTGAAATTTTGGAGAAACAACGCCCGGAGAGGCGCCGGCGGACAGGCGGCCGAGAACCACTTTCTCTCTCTCTCTCTTTCTCTCTCATCCTCTCTCGCCCCATCTCTTTCTCCCACTTCGTGTCGCTACCACACGCGAAATTTCAATATGCATCGTTTGACAGATGTGGCGCATCGCCCGGATTTTAAATGCAAATATAAATCTCCCCGCAGTCCGTAACGTGTCGGTGTGGCGCGCGAAGGGCGTAAAATCCATAGCTGCGTATAGCAGTCGAAGGAAAGCTCGAGAGAACTCGGGAGCTTCGCAGATTCCGCTATCAGAGCAGATTACGGTTTCGCGCGCAATCAAATACGAGAACGCGATAATTATCGTTGCTGTGTAATGTAGACTTACACGAAGGATCGGGAGGTTTCGCGCACGGACATAGAAACGCCAAACGAGTAACGTTCTCTTGTAAATCTCTCGCGCAACGAAAGAATTATTTCGGATATTTGAACAACATTATACAGAGTGTTCCAGACTCTCCTTCGCAATTTTTGTGGATAAGTAGAACGGATTGAGGTGAACGTAGGAGTCCCATATTGTTTTTCGATATTTGTAATAAATTTAGAGATATTAATAAGAAAAGATTGGTGAATAATCATGCGCAATATGGTAGATGAGCTGTGGTGCTGCCTGCCATTGTATACTTATACATTAGGTCGGACAAAAAATTTCTCTATTATTTTGTAAATAATCATGTAGATTTTTAATTATTAATATTATTCTAATTATTAATTAAAGAAAATGTTTGTACGATTTTTCCCAATAATCTTCTGTAATTAATATCTAAAAATCAATGTGGTTATTTGCAAAATAAATTTTTTTCTTCAGTTTGATCTAATGTATAAGCATGCAACAGCACACGTCGTCACTATTGCACATCTAACACATCGCGCGTGATCATTCACTAATCTTTTTTAATTAATATCTCTATTATAGCGAACATCGCAAAACGGTATGAGACTTTTATGTTCATCTGAAAATTGCGAAGAAAAAGAATACCCTGTGTATACGTATATATCGCATTCTCGTGTCCCCGCGAATTTACGACATTGAGATAAATTTTGAGTCGACAATATAATTCCGCCCTACATAATTACTCTCAGATATCTCTGATTACCGTAAATTTATCATATTTTATCGCGTACCGATCAATTTACGATACACACTCCGTGTGCGCGCTATATTTAACTTATTCGCGGTATGAATCATTCACCGAGAGAAGCGCGTAGCTCATTTGTTACTCAACGCCCCATTCAGAAGCGGTCGGCGCGTGTGCCTCATATAAGAGAGAATTATATCATTTGAAGCACTCTTGTTCGTCAATAAACGAGGCAAACTCTGAATAGCGTTGTCCAACGCCGGTAAACGCCGACGTTTGACCTTGTTTTAATTATATTATTTTGAATCGCGCGTCGTGACTGTTCGCGTAGAAGGAAGATTCTTCCGCTAACTTTCAATGGCGCGCGAGAGCGTGCTTCACGTTTCATTTATTTAAAGCCAAACCGAAGCATACTCCTGCTGTTTCCGAGTTTCAACTCGGCGTAGAACGGATTAATCTCTCATAAATCGCCAGTGGTTTTCGTTGATTGGGTCACGGTTTCATTTGTGCCTCGCCCGGAGACACACCACTTTCGAACTGAAGTAATTAAGTGTCGCGATCGGCACGTAGCTCAATATCGAATATCTCCTCTACGTCCGTTTCCACAGAGACGTGCAATATTATATTGACACTGAAACCATCGCGGGAGCTGGACATGTGACGCTCTGAAAACGAAGTAGTATAAGATGCGAACAAAAGCGTCATATCTTTTGCACCATTTTTCTGGAATTGTGCTCACCGCTCTTGAACATTCTTGCAACATATTTGGGTAGACGATCACACGGTAATACGTATTCCTGAGGCATTCTTAATTCTGCCAAATAACGCAATTTGCATTATTTGCGAAAATTAAATCTCACTAACTATGATAGAATAAAAAACCCGAGAAAAAATGACCATGTATAAAATTTGGTACAATAAAGTCAATCATATAGGCCCACGTAAAGTGACAAAAACTTTAAAAATATTTGTCGTATCAAAAAGTTGTTTATGAGAAAGTTTCATATATTCGAAGGGTCTTTCGAAATTGTAAACAAAAATTCGTCCTCGCTTCTCTTTGAAAGGGGGCGGAAAGTAATTTCGCGATTTCAAATGAAACTTCCTATAAAATGTTTCATATTTGGATCTTTTTTTGTTTCTTAATAAAATAAAAAAAGAAACAGAAAAACTATGAAGTCTTCTATTTAATTTATTGTTTTATCACATTATATATTCTACTTTAAAGTTTAAGTATTTATAACTTTTGATAGAAGCACTTTTCATAAAAATTTTCCAGATAAAATTTACTTGTTTTTTCCCGTAAAATCCAAATATGTAATATTTTATAGGAGGTTGCATTTCAAATTACGAAGTTATTCCCACTTGAAAGAGAAGCAGAAGCGAATTTTTGTTTACATTGTTAGAAAGATTCATCGAATATATAATAATTCCTCATAAATAATTTTTTTTAATATGACAAATATTTTTCGAATTTTTGAATTGTCATATTTTACGTGGGCCACCCTGGCCACATATAAATATATATGTTCGCAACGAAAAAACTGTTGTACAAATATAATTGAAGTAATGCTTATATTTATGATAACTTATGATGTCGACTTTTGATCGAATGAAAACCATTTTTCCTTTCCGATTCAAAAACAGTTTTTCCCCTACGAACATATGTAATTATATATATAATTTATGTATGGCTATATATATATATATATATATATATATATATATATATATTGCGCTAAATTTTCTAAATGTCAGCCATATATAATTATGCAAGATGTAACGTTAAAAGTGTTACAGTTTATTATGTTCATAGAAGAAGAAGAAGAAGAAGAGAGAGAGAGAGAGAGAGAGAGAGAGAGAGAGAGAGAGAGAGAGAGAGAGAGAGAGAGAGAGAGAGAGAGAGAGAGAGAGAGAGAGAGAGAGAGAGAGAGAGAGAGAGAGAGAGAGAGAGAGAGAGAGAGAGAGAGAGAGAAGAGAAAGAAGAGAGAAGAATTAACAAATCAAAATGTCCTTCAATTTATATTAACGACTCCATTTAGAAAAAAATTAACTTCATTAAATAATGTTACTTTTGATATCAAACAGTTGATAAAGAACAAAAAATTCATATTTAATTTAAAAAATAATAGATAATTA